AATAACAGATAATAGAACATCGGAATTTTTGTACGAAGAAATATTATGTGTGAGAATTTTCAAAGCCAGCCTTTACCAGTTTATTGAACATTCAGAGACAGTTTGTTTTTGATTCCCAAAACTTCCCGTGAGAATACCACTGGAAGTGATTATCTGAAGAGGTATTTTTGGATTAATTGCTGCTACACGAGGGAGACGCATTACGAATGAGTGTGGGAAGTTTCTGATGTGCAGTGCCGTTGTCTGTAGCTTTAACTGGTCTTACATTTTCTATATGCAGTGAAAAATAATGTAGCGTGATCAGAGTGGTTTAACGTATGACTCATTGTAATTTTTGCTATTTAAGGAATTGACGGATGTTGACACGCTGAATGAAGGAGAAGGTGGTGCTGCAAAATTGATTGATGCGCTGGTAGGTGGACAGTTGATTGAAACACTGGTACAGCAGAGCGTTGAACGTCTCGATGAAACAGTGAAGGATGAAGCGGATGCCATTCACAACGCGCTGTCGGTTGTTGAAAATGTAAGCCCTTTCGTAGCTGGGAAGAGTTCGGCCCTTCTGTTTGAAGGGATTTCAGCCAAAAATTTTCCTTTTGTTTAGTTACTTTTTTTTTTGAAAATGTGTTTTTGTTTTTCGTTTAATTTTTTTGTGGCGTTTCAAGCAATATTGCTCAGATTAGTTAGTGATTGTGTGTTTTTTGCAGGTGCTTGACTTCCGGCCGGCCTTTGCTGATAGCTGTGTTGAGCAGGGTCTCTTTTCGTGGCTTCTTCGTCGTGCAACACAGCGAGGGACTCTTGATGCAAATAAAATGTACGCCAGTGAATTACTTGCTTTGCTGCTGCAGTCTACGGAATTGGCTAGAAAGCGCCTGACTGAAAAAGTGGATGGTTTCGACTTGTTACTCCGTGTAAGTTTTTGAACGTACTTAATTAGTTTTGTGAAATTTATTGCATCCGAGATATTTAAAAGCAGTTCAGTTTGTTTGGAGATGTTCTCGTAACGAGAGCTACAGCGCTTTGCTCTTTTGATGTCGTCGTTGCGACTTCAGCAGTGAGTTTTCAGTCGCTTGCCACCTACAAGCGCCA